CCGATTTACCTAACTACACTGACTACCTAATTTTAAATCTGGCTTCACTACCGTGGCTCAGTACCTGGCTTAGGTTAGTATGGACGTTTCTGTACCACTCCCGTGGTGGTACCCAGAACTTGTGTGAGAACAGTAGTCCTCCTTACATTGGGACTGTTCATCTTGTTGTGTCTATTTACTGTGCGTGTATTTTCTTCCCACCAGGTCGGGACCACACTGTTGATGATTGTGTCCTTCTGTTCTCCACGCAGCCTTTCTTCCTGAGCATTTCTCTCTCAATGCAGCCTTGTCATAACAACGCTCTCTGTAAACGCCCCTCTCCAACACACCTTCCGCACCTTCCTGCTCAGCAGCTCTCACCTGGCTCGCCCTTGCCCATCCTCCCTGTCTTCTTGAGTCCTCCCTTGCTTAATCTCTTGTGCTAACTATTCCCATTCAGGCCCAGTGAAGATTTCTTTTTTTTTTTCTATCTATTTATGACTAATAAAAAAAAGATTTGCTAAATTACAAATACTCTCCTGACAATACAGGCAGGCAATCCAGGCCATCATTAGGAACACAGAGAGGGGCGCCATCTTGACCACCCATTACATGTCGGAGGCAGAGGCAGTGTGTGATCGCGTGGCCATCATGGTGTCTGGAAGGCTGAGGTGAGAGCCTGTCATGAGGCCACAGGTGACCATGAGGTGCATGTCTGGAGGTTTTTCCTGTGGACTGGGAGAGATCACTATGCGGCTGCACCTAGGCTTAACATGAGGACCTTGGGATTGGCCAGCAGCAAACCAAGGGTCTTAAACATTGCACCATACGCCTTTTCTTCCTTCCTCTTATGACTTCATGCTCCTCTGACCTCTAGGTGTATTGGCTCCATCCAACACCTAAAAAGCAAATTTGGCAAAGATTACCTGTTGGAGATGAAGGTGAAGACCCTCGCACAGGTGGAGGCCCTCCATGCAGAAATCCTGAGGCTTTTCCCCCAGGCTGCTCGGCAGGAAAGGTAAAGATGGTTCCAAATGTCCTCTTTGCCCTGTCAGTTACATCGATTTGTAAAGGAAATGTCAAAGAAAGATTATTCACTGGACACTGTAGGAAGTAAGTCAGAGAAGGGAGAGGTGGTGTAAAAGCCTCGGCCACGTGTGCCAGGTACTATCCACGTCTCTGGTCATCTTCTTGAATCCTTGCAGAGATTTTCAAAGTAGATACTGTTATTCCAAAGAAAAGGAGATAATTTCAAAAGTTTTGTGAGAGTCTGGTGTTTCATAGATGAATTATTATCTGTATAAAGAGGGAAAAAATTGATGGGGAGACAGATTAGGTGCCATGACTAAGCTAATAAGTGACACAACCAGGATGTCAATCTAATCGTTTTGTTTCAAAGCTATTAATACTTTGAATTTTATATGGATTTGCATAATGGTACCATTCTGATGAAAATTAATATAGCCAAAGTCAAGGATTAACTTTAGGGTCGTTTTTCACACTTCAAATTTCCTGAAGAGGAGAAATTATCTAGGAGTTAGGAGAGAAAAAGGAAAATGAAAAGGAGTAAGTCATAATGACAAGGCAGAAAAATATGTTTCTACAGTGGAGTATAAATATAAAAGTAATGCTATAACTCAATGTGTGCCTGTGACTGCGTGGAACTCTATCACACAGGTTCAGGGAATGAATCAAAAAGATGAGGATAGATACCCTATAACCATATGAAATGCTATCCTACCAAATAAAATCTAAATATAAGATTTTCAAATGCTAGAGAGACAAACATTTATCTGAAAAATAGAGTATTTAAAATTACTATTGCTGGCATTATTTACAGAAATCCTGATCTCCCAATCAGAAGCTCAATGATATTACTGTACAGTAGGAGGACAGTGTGAGCCTGGTGGGGGAGAAGAGGTGTGGAGGTCCTGCAAGATACACCTAGATTTTACCCTTGTTGGGGAACTTGAAGAGTTGACAGTTTCAGAATGTAATTCAAGGAGGAAGCCAAGGATCAGGTGTTCAGCTTAGAAAGTTAGGTGGGAGGAGATTCTGCACAGTCTTGGAAGAACATCTGCTCCGTACATGCTCACTTCCGTGCAAGACGCCAAGGACACAGATCTGCCTTACTCTCCCTCCCTGCAGCTATTCCTCTTGGGGAACCACCCCACTTCTGGTTAGAGATTCACCCTAGACTTTTCATTCACACCAAGCACACTCTACTGAAATAAAGACCCAGATATCAAACGACAGTAATCAAAACACTGTGATACGAATATAAAGACAGAAGTACAGACCAATGGGAGAGAACAGAGAGCCCAGAAAGAGATCCATGCCAATATGGTCAGTTGGGCCTCAACAAAGGGGCCAGAAATACACAGTGGGAAAAGGACAGTCTCTTCATCAAATAGTTTTGGGGAAACTAGATATTCACGTGCAGAAGAATAGAATTGGACCCCATTTTGCACCATACATGAAAATCAATTAAAAGTGGATTAAAGACTTAAGCCTAAGACATGAAACTATAAAATTCCTAGAAAAAAAATGTAAGTGAAAACCCTGTGATATTGGTCTTGGGGATGTGTTCATGGATAGGACACCAGAAGTGTTGGCAACGAAAGCAAAAATAAACAAGTGGGGTTTCCACGAACTAAAAAGATCCTGTACATCCAAGGAAATAATCCACCGTGAAAAGGCAGCCCGCAGGGCGGAGGACTATTTGCAAACTATGTATCTGATTGATAAGGGGTTAGCATCCAAAATCTATAAGAAAGTCCTATACTGGAATAACAAAATAATAACAATCTGATTTTAATGACTCAAACGGACCTTTCTCCAAAGAAGACGCACAACATGTATATGAAAAAAGCATTCAGTGTCACTTATAATTTGGGAAATGCTAATCAAAATCACAATGAGAGGTCACCTCACACCTGTTGGAATAGTTACTATTGAAACAAAAAAAAAGGCAACTATTGGCAAAGATGTGGAAAAATTGGAACACTTGCACACTGTTGGTGCAAATGCAAAATGGAACAGCCACTATGAAAAACAGTATGGAGGTTCTTCCAAAAAGAAAGAAAGGCAGGGGGAGTGAGAGAGAGAGGGGAAGTGGGGGAGGAGGGAGGAAAGAAAGAAGGAAGGAAGGAGAGAGAGAGAGAGAGAGAGAGCTACCATAATCATATAACCCAACAATCTCACTTTGAGGTATATATACACAAAAAATAAAATCAAGATCTCAAAAAAAGATCTGAACTCCCATGTTCATTGAAGTAGCGCTGTTTATTTTTAAATTTGTTTATTTATTCTTTTTAGTTATATGTGACAGTAGAATGTATTTTGACATATTATACATATATGGAGTGCAACTCCCCATTCTTGTGGTTGTGCATGATGTGGAGTTTCACTGGTTGTGTATCCATATATGAACATAGGAAAGTTATGTCCAATTCATTCTCTGTCTTTCCTAATCCCATCTCTGCTCCCTTCCCTTCATTCCCCTTTGTCTAATCTAAGACCTTCTATTTTCCCCTCCTCCTAATTGTATGTTAGCATCCACATATCAGAGATGGCTTATTTGGGGGGATTGGCTTATTTCACTTAGCATGATAGTATCCAGTTCCATCCATTTACCAGCAAAATCCACAATTTCATTCTTCTTTATGGCTGAGGAATGTTCCATTGTATATACATATCACATTTTCTTTATCCATTCATCTATTGAAGAGCACCTGGGTTAGTTCCATAGCTTAGCTATTGTGAATTGAGCTGCTATCAATATTGATGTGGCTGTATCACTCTAATTTAGCCCAAGGCCAGCATAGGCTTCATAAGTGAAGGTTTGACTTCGTGAGAAATCCAAAAGGGAGTTTGAATTAAAGAGACAGACTCTAATTATCTTTAAACCAGCTCCAGGATGGTTTCCTGTACCCCCAGCCTCAAGCTACCTATTAGAGTAGGGAGATTTACTGAAGAGGCCAGTGAGAAAGAGAGAACACGCCAAGGAGTGGACTTCTATTGGGGAACAAAAAATTCTGGGGAAAATCTCATCCAATGAAGAATAAGGGGGGGCAGTGTCCCAAGGTCAGGTGAGATGATTGGTTCTTCAGGGGTTGTAGCCAGGCACGCCTCCACACGGACAAGCCCTCGGAACCCAGAAATGTGGGGAAAGCTCTGGACACAGATGTGTCTAAGTGCCTCTCGCCCAGCCAGGGAGATAACTTGAATCACGTGTGAAGATGGCCTCCTACACTCGAATATGCTAACTTTAAGTCCATTGGGGATATGCTGAGGAGTGAGATAACTGGGTCAAATGGTGGTTCCATTCCAAGTTTTCTGAGGAATCTCCATACTTTTTCCAGAGTGGTTGCACTGAAGCAGCACTGTTTTTGAATAGCTAAGACATGAGAACAACTTATATGACCACTAACAGATGAACGGATTCTTAAAAAAACTGTTATATTTTATACCTACAATGGAATACTATTCCACTTTTAAAAAGAAGGAAATTCTGTAATACATAACAACATGGATGAACCTTGAGGACTTTCTGCTAAATGAAATAAGCCAGTCACATAAAGACAAATACTGCATGATTCCACTTATGAGACAGCTAAAATAGTCAAGTTTATAAAATCCCAAAGTAGAAGGGTTGTTTCCAGGGACAGAGCTGGTAGGGGAATGAGGAGCTGCTAGTTACAGAAATAAATTTTCATTTAAATAAGATGAAGAAACTCTAAAGATCAGCTGTTCAACCTGATATCATCTGATATGACATTAAACATTTTTTTTTTTTTGGCACTAGGGATTGAAACCAGAGATACTTTACCACTGAGCTACCTCCCAAATGCTTTTGTTTTGTTTTATTTTAAGACAGGGTCTCAACATTAAGCATTCTTAACCATGTTTATAAAAGGTAGAAAGACCAGAGCAATGTTGACAGGTAGTTGACACTCGCCGTGGGTGGTCTCTCCTCTCCTCTCAGGTACTCTTCTTTGATGGTTTATAAGTTACCAGTGGAGGACGTGCAACCCTTAGCCCAGGCTTTCTTCAAATTAGAGAAGCGTAAGTACCGTGACTTTGAAATAAGACCCTGAAAAGAAGATATCTCTGAATTACATACAATCTATCCCTGTGAAAAATGAAATGTGACCTAATGCATTAAATTTAAAAATTGAAATCTCAAATTGAATTTTAGGAGCACCAGAATCATAGGCATTTTGAGTCTGTGTGTGGCAGAGAATGTTGGAAGTGATTTTTATCTTTGCTTTGAGGGGCTTTCTTTCCATGTGGTTTTGCATATATACTGGCACAACCTAAGTCCAAACTTAATTATTTGTACATTTAAAGAAAATGCTTTCTATTGGAACATGCCTGTATACTCAAAATTCAATTTTCTATCAGTTGGCATATTGTTTTATTGCCTTGGGCAGTATATGAAGAAACTGGCTCCATCTGGCCACTGAAACAATCTTCTTGGGTCTATTGCACTTCATCTGACCACACCCCATGTGTTATTAGAGGGTCAGGTTCTCCTTGCCATTTTAGCCTTTGCACTCTGCAACCTAGAGTGGTGCTGGTTAGAACTCCACTCTGTACTGTTTTAATTGTCACTGCTCTGTGATATCTTCACACAGTTGTCACCTGCCCTAAGGAAGAGAATTCGATCCCCCGTGACTCCTGTTGATAGCATCTGCCTGCATTCATGCTGACAATCCTCTTTCCATTCTCTGAGCTGAGCACCCAACCTTCCAAGCCATGTAGTCATTTCCTGCACTCCCTAGATTGGCACCAATCCCAGTACACCTCTCAAACTTGAACCAGCATATTTTCATTCTGCTGGGCTCCTATCCAAACTCTAACTGCCCTTCACCATCTATTTTGGTCAACAAGAAGGGTTTTCAATCTAACTAAGAGGTCGCTGCAGTGGCTTTTAGAAAGAGCCCCCTGTACACAGCCACTCCCTAGGAAACCTCAGATATTCTGTATAATCAGAGGCGACCTTTTTCAAAATGTGTCTTCTTTCCGCATCTTCCTGTGTTGGATGAGCAAAAACACCGGCTCCCATGCCGGGAAGAAAGCCTTATCAGCCTCATGTGCTCCCTTAAATCCAGATTTCAAAAACTGCACAGCCTATAAGCCTAACAAGAGCCATTATTTCCCCCAAAATATAAGTAAACTTCTCAGTTTGTTTTTAACTGGATGATGTGTTTAAGTCATGAATAAATATTATCTTCACCAAAAATTGAAATTGTCAAAAAAAAAAAAAAAACGTATTATATGTACTACACGTTGACTTACGAGACCATCTGGATATAAAGATACATGATCCGCTAATGTTTGTCCATCCTCCCACAGTCAAACAGAGCTTCCACCTGGAGGAGTACAGCCTCTCCCAGTCCACCCTGGAGCAGGTGGGTCCCATTCCGGGATTTGCACCATCTGTGGAACCTGAGTGTGTGAGATGTGCCTGCTCTGCCTCCTCAGAGCCGCAGGAGGCAGAGTGACAGGTGCCTCTCTGGGCTTGACCCTCCCTTTCAGGTTTTCCTGGAGCTCTCCAAGGAGCAGGAGCTGGATGTTTTTGATGATGAACTTGATCCTTCAGTGAACTGGAAGCTTCTCCCACAGGAAGAACCTTAGGCCACGAGTACTCTGTGTTCCCGTGGAAGCCTGTGGTTGCTTTTTAAAGACATTTATTTTGGTAGCATCAATGTCATATTCACAGAAACCACATTATAAACACTGAGATGGCTCTTCGTGTAGAGAGAGGAGCGGCCAGTTTAGCTGCAGGGACATGGTGGATGGCCTGTCTGAGCCGCCTCCTGCCCCAGCCTCTGCACCCCAGAAGGCTGCTCTGGCTCCATTTTTCTGTAGAATGCTAAATAAATACGTTTACTTTTATACAACTAAGTTTCTAAGTATGATAAACAGACTTCCTTTCATATTTTTGAGTCAAAAATCTTAAAACACACTTTTCTAACTCAGAGTAAGTATTCCATATATTTACTCTCTGAATATTTATGACACTTTAAAAAACTGATATCATCATAAAAATTTACTTTTTGAAGTAGATTTCAGTATGTTTGTTATGGCTAAAAGTCACACAGCATCATTCGTCATAGTATCTGATATCAATGTACTTAATACACCCATTGGCAGCACTATGACCCAGACACACTCTGCCAAACCAAACACCTGCCATTAGGAATAGATGGCACTTTTTATTTCTGTAAACCATCCGAGTCCCATTTTCATGGTATTTTCATATATAGGCTGCTGAGAGCCATAGCCAAGTAGGAATGACACATGGCATTTTTGGTTGAAAGATGACTCCAGCAAGCCATTGAGATGATAATGATTATGTTAAGATGTCATTCAATTGGAGATTAGACCCCTGCTGTCTGCTGGCCTGCTACTTTGGAGCTCTCCTGGGTTGGGGAAGTGCCTTAGGAGGGAATTCCGGAGGAGGGATTTCCTGTTGGTGTAGTGTGTCCCGGGAGAAGGCCACATGCGTGGCATTCGCGGGAGTTTTGCAAATAAAGTTTGTTCCTACTTGAGTGGCTCGTGATTTTGTGCCCAGCCAGACTGTGGCAATAGGCCTCAGAGGTACCTGGATTATAATTGATCTTCCATGAATATTTGTCATTCAATTTCAGAAAGCTGATAAATGTAATAACAGAGCAAGTGATCAAGTAGGTTAAAATGAAAAATAAATATCATATATATATTTTGAAATGTATTTGTTATTTTGTGTACTTCATGTTATTTTTCTCTCTTGACTCAGTGGTCTGCTATTTACAAATTTCATTGAAATCCTATTAAAATAATTTCTAATGCTGATGATGAACTGGTAACGGGGTAGATACTGGATGTAATCACTTTAGAGTATTCTGCTATACCAGTATTTAGACTAGTGCTTTGGCTATTGGCCTCATTATTATCCCTCATCTTTCAAATATATTGATTACAAACCAATTCTAATTACCCTCTGTGACTACCCCCAATTCATGTATAGAAACAGACAATTAACAGAGAGGTTTCATATTTCTATTTTGGGGGCTTAAGTTTACCTCTCTAGTTTATTTTCTGTTACACAGAAAGATGTGGCTTGGAATCCCTCTTTCGAGACATGTTTAGGAGTCAATTCCACCTCACTCCATGGAGTGATTCATTGTTAGTACTGAGGATTGCTTACTCTGCATATATTACCATGCTAGAGAGGACGTGGTTTTTACACCAATGGGGCTTTAATCAAGAATATGAAAAAATTTATGTCATAATTCATTTTTTTTCTTGAATAAACCATACATTTCTTTGTTAGAATATTCTTGGGAAAGGTACTTAATTAAGTACTTAAGGCAGCAATATATTTTGGAGTAAGTCTCTTGATAAGATGGGTGACTCAGGGGACCCTGGGAATTAAAAACTCCTCTGTGATTTATTTCCTCCCCCTCCCCCATGTGTGGGTTCAAATTGCTCTTGAACTCACCTGAAAAATTTATGATGCCTTCTACTCTCTACACCTCTCCTCAAAGCAGTGGTTCTCCAAGTGTAATCTATGTACCAATGTCATCACCATATAGGAAAACTTGCTGGAAATGCCAATTCTAGAGGTTCATTTCAATCCTCTTGAGCTAGTAACTCTGGAGGTAAAACCCAGCCATCTGCCTTCAACAAGCCTTCCATATAATTCTGATTCATGTGATATTTGAGAACCACTGGATTCTTTGTTCCCCTCCCCAACCCTTTTAGGACTAACAAGTAAAAATGCAGTATGTTTTGATTAGTACAACTTTCTTCAATTTGTTAAGAACAAAGAATGGCTCAGGTGCACTGAGAAGGTTGAATCCCACCTACCATATCATTAGAAAGACCTATAAACAATTATTAAAAATGAGAGCCATGTATCTATCTTTAGGTGTCAATAAAAATTAAAAGGCAATAATATTTTATGATATCAAAATCATGATAGACATAAGCTTCAGTCATTTATTCATTTGATTTTTCAAAATGTAATCATTGGTGGCTAAAATTTCTCCTCCACTGTAGTGTCGCTTTTCAGGGTAGGGACCATGTTTGTCTTCGTGGTCTCAGTTGCCAGGGCATGAGGGATGCTCAGTAAATGGTCAAGTCAGTATCCAATACAGTGCAGAAAAACTGAAAGGGCAAGTGAGAGACAAACACAGTGAAACCGTCCTTACTTTAAAATAAGCTACATGGCTAAAAATGACCTGAATGTTGTGTGACCCAAGGTCTGTGGATAATTGAACCATGGCGACTGATCCTTCTAGTTAGAATCTGTAAGTTTCCGAGCTCCAGAAAAAAAACAGGAGAATTCAATTTCAAGTAGAAAATTCAGCAAATCAGATGATAGAACAAAGTTGTCATGAGCAGTTCAATTTTCTCAAGAGATGGACCATGTGATGTACCATGGACGGGACTTAATGATTTTTTTCAATAGATGTATACTATGACCCCCTTACGTGTCAAGTATTGACACAGCCACAAGAATGTGAAAATAAGACATTATCCAGAAGCTAGAGTTTCAAGAATGATGTTGTACAGAGGGCTAGGAAAGAGAACTCTTTAGTGAAGGATCTTTCGTGGGCATTCTTAAATCAAAAAGATGATTATTACCACTTTACAGGTGCAGAATCTGTGTCATAAAGAGTTCGAGTACTTCGTCTAGGATCACATAGTTGGCAGAGCTGGAATTTGAATCTAAGTTTGCCTGACTCCAAAGCTTCTTGATAATTCCTGTGCATACAGAATGAAAACAGAATATGGTAAATGCATTGCCAACACAATCGCACAAGACCGAAGTGAGAGCAAAGCAGACGGTGGGCTCTTAACTCTTCCTGGTTGTTAATATAAAGCTCAAAGCAGGGGAAAGTTTCCTTGAACCTGAGTTCTAAAAGGTGGGTTACGATATGGCAAGTGGCTACAGAGGCCAACAAGTGGGGCAAGGCAGAGTGGGAAAGAGGTGGAGTGACAGAGGGCAGGAAACCACTTCATCCAGTCCCCACTCTGACTTGGAGACGGGCAAGACCAACTCACCATGAGATGATTGTCTCAACCTAGAGAACTGGGCCAGAGGAAGAGAGAGGGGGAAACCAAAAACTTCCCAGAGCTACTTATTTTCAGACCTGTGCCCTGAACCAAAGGTCTCTTGGCCAATGTTTGCACAATAGCCAGATCCATGACTAGTGGCCATCCAGTATCAGATTTGACTGGATTCTTTTTGCAAAATGTGAACAACAGCTGCTGAGCTCTTCAGTTGCAGCTGTCTAAGCAAGGACACATCCAAGTCGTGCTTGTTGAAAACTCTATGGATTCCTGTGTGGAGGGCTATTTCCTCTGCTTTTTCTCAAGAGAGTTTTTGAATAGCTGAGATGTTTAAAAACAAACACTGGGAGAACGCTATGTCTGTGTGGACACGAACTTCTGAAATTCTATGCTGCACATCCACTATTCAAAAATAGGAAGGAAGATTTTATTGTTGTTGTTGTTGTTGGTCCAAAAGTTCAAGAGCCTGGCTCCTTTAAGAAATCCCAACAGGACAGGAAAAGAGAATTGGTGAAGAATTCAGAGACAGGGAAAAGTGAGCACTGGGAGGAGCGGGGTGGAGCCAAGGGGTGCCCGGCTAGAGAGGGAAGGGGTGGACCCGCCACCATTTTGTATCATAATGAAAACTTGCTGGAGCTCCAGAAGGACAACAATGTAAGAAGTTTGGATAAAAGGAAGCAAAGAACGTCTGATAAGTGATTGGATCCTTTAAGACTATAGAATGAATTGGGCATATGTATGAATACGTGACCCATGCAACTCCACATATGTGCAACCACAAGAATGTGATCCTAATGGGAATGGGTTGCACTCCATGTATATATAATATGTCAAAATACATCCTTAAAAATAGAGAAGACTACTTAGCAATTAGCACAAATATCCCTAGTCAAGGTAGAACTATGATAGCCTTATTTCTTCCCTCAAAACCACCCTACAAATTACTTCTGAAGACCAGAACTTCAATAATAATGCTTATTCTATTTTTACTTCTGTTAAACCAGGCAAACCAATTGTATGCTCTTAAAGTTTCCGGATGACAAATTGACCAGGGCTGTGATAACAAATGACTATAGAATTAATTATCTGACAGTTCTCTTATGCAAGGAAGGAGATGGATTCTTAGCCCCCTTCCATAACATATCCATGTTGCATTTGGGATTTTGATGCTCGTAAGTCATATTAGCTATCTTTTCCCTCAGAGCATCTAATTACAATTTTAAATTAAAATACAAGCAGAGTGTGTTCTAGTGGATATTGAAACTCTAACCTTTACCTCCACTGGGGTTCAAAGACATTAAACAGAAGAACTAAGGCATTCTCAAGGCAAGGTTTTTAATACATTTTTAACATTAACACACAGAGCATTTTAAAGGGACCTTAAATTTTAAAAGACTGAGAAACACAAGTTTAAAGGTTTTTGTTTGTTTGTTTGTTTTTAATTTGGTCCTTTTTAACTATTCATTCCCTTGAGATTTTTGTATCAGCTGTAGAAAGCATAATGCAGGTTATTCAATAACTTTCAATTGTCCCGTACAATAAATGTGCTTTTTAACTTAAATATGCAAGGATTT